GCCAACTTTGCCCCAAATAAATACCTTTACAGGTACAATAGCATGGGGGTGATGTTGAAATATGATCTGTTCTGAGCGTGTACCTACAGGTCGTGACTGCGGGGGTTTGAATGAGGATGAGGATGAGGAGGAGGAGGAGGAAGACGGGCAGGAACTTACTTTGACCAGAGTGCACTATATAGGGAATAGGGTGTCATTTGGGATGCACAACATGGACATGGAGCTTAACCATTTCATTTCCAGATGTTAGGGTTAAAAGGAAATGTTTGTCTTATAAACAGCTGGCTGGCATTGCAGTGCTGCTGGTGGGTAAGATCATCAGTTCATATAAAGGACAAGGTTCAACTAGAATGATCTGAAGGTTGTAAATTGATATGGCGTCAAATTTAAAGAGATAACATGACTGGACGTAATCCCTGTCTAAACCCAATAAACTATACTGAACAAAAATATAAACGCAACATGTAAAGTGTTGGTCCCATGTTTCATGAGCTGAAATAAAATATCCCAGACATTTTTCATGTCTGTAATAAAGCCCTTTTGTGGGGAAAAACTCATTCTGATTGGCTGGGCCTGGCTCCCAAGTGGGTGGGCCTATGCCCTCCCAGGCCCACCCATGGCTGCGCCCCCTGCCCAGTCATGTGAAATCCATAGATTAGGACCTAATGAATTTATTTCAATTGACTGATGCATGTTGCGTTTATATTTTTTGTTTAGTATACATAAATGTTCAGGTCCTTTGTAGCTCAGTTGGTAGAGCATGGTGCTTGTAACACAAGTGAGTTTGATTCCCAGGACCACCCATACTCACAATCTATGGGATAACTTAACATCGTAGGCCTACTGCTACTGAAATACTTTGGATACTTAAGCACCAGTCTGAATCTGAGTCTCAATCTTCAGAAGTTGTCATGAGAGACGGCTGAGGAATTACTAGTTTAAACACATTTGATTAGTGAAATCATAATTTATAATAATCTGTAAAGCCTTGTGTTCTTGCATGTTTGTGAAAGTTAGCTTCTAAGGATAAAAACAATCAATCACTTTATACTACTGTTGACATCGATGCCCTTTAAGATGAGGGAGGAACAAAACATTTGTTCATGAGCATGGCCTTATTTCTATTTCAGCATATAGGATGACTGTCATTCATATTCCACTCACCCAGTTAAATGTCACATCGATAGGTTTAGGCTTCTACATGATACTCACATATTCCCTGTACCCATCATGAGGTGGCTACAACCTAGCCTATGAATGAAAGTTTACAACGTAGGTGCACACAGGTCGAGAGAGATTTGAGTAATCAAGGTGACAGACATTGACACATTCAATACCGCCTTGCACACTCTTGCCTGCATCTGGCTGATCTAGGGTGTAATCATTAGTCCAACAGTTGCAAATTAGAATTTCTATTGGACAAATTCAGGTATGTATATCCCCATTTCGTTACGTTTGCTTCCGTTCTAAGAAACGTTTTTTTAACAGAATCGGCGGAATGAATACACCCCTGATCACACGCGAAAGCAGTTCACTTTCATAGCAGCCAGATCATTGTATAACTATTTCTTGCATCTACGCACTCTCCTCCTGTCACCTTTTCCCTTCGCTTGTTGTCTTCAGTGCACAACACATCAGCTGTCTGTGACCAGGCGAAAAAACCTTTCCAAGCCAAACCTTCATCTCATGACTGCTAAACCACTTCACACAGCCTACACCGTTGTCACCATATTAGCTAACGTCATAGCTACTAGAACTAACGCATTAGTAAACCCGCTACAATCATGCAGTACAGTGTACAACCAAGCGGTTCAGCAGTTAGACCGGCTGGCCCCGATGGAAATAAATTAATAAAACCTAAAGCTTACCTTGACTTGGAAGAGTTCTAGTGTTGGATAGCCATAGCCAGCTAGCTAACATAGCATCCCTCTCTGTTTTGAGCCCTGTGTTTGAGTAGGCTAAACTAGCTAGCTGCATTCGCTAGCTAAGTAAGTAAACGTGAGAGAAAAAAAATAAATATAGCTAGCTCTCTCTCTCTCTCTTGCTTCTCCTTCATTTTTGAAGAAATTAATTTGTTCAAAACGGTTCAACTATTTTCTTTCTCTCCCTTTGAGTCAACTACTCACCACATTTTATGCGCTGCAGTGCTAGCTAGCTGTAGCTTATGCTTTCAGTACTAGATTCATTCTTAGGGCCGGTTGCATAAAACATCTTAATTGTTTCCCTTAATGGTTTACCTTAAGGACTAATTTCCCCTTACCTAAGGGATTTTTTTAAAGAGTGTTGCATAGAGCCCCTCAAACATTGTCACGATCGTCATAATGATTGGACCAAGGCGCAGCGTGATATGCGTACATCTCTTTAATAGTGTACTAGCAACACGATACAAAATACAAAACAACAAAACGAAACGTGAAGTCCTCGGTCATGAACACAAACCAACACGGAACAAGATCCCACAAAACACAAGTGCACAACAGGCTGCCTAAGTATGGTTCCCAATCAGAGACAACAAGCAACAGCTGATTCTCGTTGCCTCTGATTGAGAACCACCCCGGCCAACCTAGAAAACACATGAACTAGAAACTGAACATAGAACACAAAACATAGACCCTACACACCCTGGCTCAACATATAAGAGTCCCCAGAGCCAGGGCGTGACAAACATTTTCTAAGGTAAGGGCATCATTTAAGGGTTTTAGGGTAGTTTGAAGGCATGTATGCAGAAAGAGTCTCTGGTTACCATGGAGAACACCTGGTTCACTGAATGAACTTCTTGTCAAAGAGATCACATTTATTTTGAGATAGCAAAATAGAACTTCTACATTCAAGACAGGAGAAACAAATTGATTCAGAAAATATTAAAACATGTTTATTTTTGTTACTTTTTTCTCAACATGTTTCTATTCCTTTCTAGCCCGTCAAGCTAACTTACAGAGTAGGTAGCTAGCTAGCCAGTTAGCTTTGTAGCCATGGATTGCACACCTTCCATTGGTTAGCTAGCTTGCTGGTGGATGTTTTCCTTTTGAAACCAGCGTAGAACAAAGCAACATTCATCTCCACAAATGCTGTTTGCATTGATATCCATACTAAATGAAAACACTTAAGGGACCTCATTGGCACCCTGAACTTTTTCACTTAATTTAAGTGAGAAATCCGCCTTAAAATGTTTTGTGCAACTGAATTAAAGTTAAGGAAACTTTAAGGGAAAGATAAGGGGAAAATGTACTTAAGATGTTTTATGCAACTGGGCCCTGATCCTTTGATTGAGTGGACAATGTCAGTTCATGCTGCAAGAGCTCTGATAGGTTGGAGGACGTCCTCCGGAAGTTGTCATAATTACTGTGTAAGTTTATGGAAGGGGGTGAGAAAAATGAGCCTCCTAGGTTTTGTATTGAAGTCAATGTACCCAGAGGAGGACGGAAACTAACTGTCCTCCGACTACACGATGGTGCTACCCTACAGAGTGCTGTTGAGGCTACCTTAGACCGTCATTGCAAAACAGTGTGTTTTAATCAGTTATTTGGTGACGTGAATATATTTAGTATAGTTTTCTCTAAAAACGTATTTAATGTTTCACTGTTTTTTCAAATGAAATTCAATGAGGAGGTTGGGTCCTCCCCTTCCTCCTCTGAGGAGCCTCCACTGGTTGACACACTATGAAGTGAAAGGTTAGTTAGGTAAACAGGAAGTGAAAGGTTAGTTAGGTAAACAGGAAGTGAAAGGTTAGTTAGGTAAACAGGAAGTGAAAGGTTAGTTAGGTAAACAGGAAGTGAAAGGTTAGTTAGGTAAACAGGAAGTGAAAGGTTAGTTAAGGTAAACAGGAATTTGTTCATGGCTACAGTAACTGAGTGACAGGTATTTCATGGAAGTTTTCAAGGAGAACAGCTTAAGTGTTCCTCTCACTCCAGATCTCTCTGAGATCTCCTGTAAACTTCAGACGTTAGGTAGCAGTCATGGAGTTGGTGAGCATCAGCTATGGTCACTTAAAGGGCTGAGAGAAGGTAAAATCACCATGCAGGAATACTGGAGTCTTTATTGCTGCCAAATATAGCACAAAAAAATCCAGAACATTTCACCTAAAGGCCAATTATATATTTGATTTATTTTGAGTTGTGGATATAATCCTATTGATATGAATATTTGAAGTCATCGTTTTTTATTGGCAAATGTATAAATTATTGTTCTCCAGTAGAGAAAAGTGTCCGTGCTGTATATTGTTGAGCTTTAAAATGTGTTTACATTTAGGAGTAAAAGGTTAACGTCTGAACAGCCTACACTGAACAGAAGACAGCTCAGAACACAGACGAACAGTCACAGTATTTATGTTTGGATAAAGGTGGTGACAAAACCACCTAATCCTGTTTTATACCTGTCATCACACAACAAATCCTGTTTTATTAACACATGCTGACAAAGGCTTTATAATAATGATTTGATTATCAGTTGTTGCACTCAAGAGAACGGAATAATGACATGGGGGGAAAGGCACTCTAATGCGGCTCTGAGGCTGTTTGTTGTCTTCAAACAACGTGTTGCTTTGCTTTGGTCAAGGCATGTTGGAACAGGAGACAAATACCTCACAGCAGGCTTTCACTGTGGCGTTGTCTCATTGGGTGTTTAACGCTCACATTGTATTGTTCAGACAGGAGCAGGTACTAGGGAAATGACTGATATGTTCACAATCTGGTCAAAGAGCTGTATTTTGTATGTACTTGTTCGTGAGTTTCATAGAGTATTGAACTCTATACCGCATTAATTGTTTTTTTTTAAAGAAGGAAAACAAATGTATATTTGTTCCCACCATATTAACTAAAATCTAACTGTCCCTCTTTCTCTCTCTGTCTCTGTCTCTGTCTCTGTCTCTGTCTCTCTCTCTCTCTCTCTCTCTCTCTCTCTCTCTCTCTCTCTCTCTCTCTCTCTCTCTCTCTCTCTCTCTCTCTCTCTCTCTCTCTCTCTCTCTCTCTCTCTCTCTCTCTCTCTCTCTCTCTCTCCCCCAGAGCTGAGGATCCTGGTGATGACAGTGAAGATGGTTACAACAGAAACAAGTACACTACTCTTAGTGGTAGCAATCTTACTAAACCTAGTAGCAAGTAACGAGTACCACAATTGGCGCTTGGGAAAGGAGCTTGGAAAGGACAGCTCTCCCATGAGTTTCACCAATCATCTCTACAATGCCACCATTAATGAGAACTCAGCCCCCAGGACTGCTGTGGAGAGTCCCATCAAGATGGGTATCGTAGTAACCGATCCTTTCTGGGACATCAAGTTCAAACTCGTCTCTGGAGACGACGACAGCCTATTCAAAGCGGAAGAGGTCAGAGTAGGGGATTTCTGCATTCTGCGAATCAAAACGCGAAGCAGTAATTCTGCATCGGTAAACAGGGAAGTAAAGGACAGTTATACTCTCACCATTGAAGCCACTGAAATCACTAACAACTTCCAGGCCAGGACCAAAGTATCGATTCAGGTGCTTGATACCAACGACTTGAAACCGCTCTTCTACCCAGCCTCGTACAACGTAGTCATCAGGGAAGACGCTCCGTTGAAGTCCAGTGTGGTCAGGGTCAGTGCGACGGACGCGGACATTGGCTGCAACGCTGAGTTCTATTACTCCTTCACGAGTAGAGCCCATCCGTTCGCCGTTGATCCTTTCACAGGCGCCATCAGCCTCGTCAAGAGACTGAACCACAGCCGAGCGGACACGTACGATCTCACTGTATTAGCAGAGGACAGGAACAAGAAGATATCTGGGGTTCAGAAGTTTGGCAACGTAGCCAGGGTTACAGTGACCATAGAAAAGGTCTCCTCAACCGCCCCCATCGTCAAACCTCTCCCAGTTGTCCTAGCTCAGAAGGACGAATACGAGAAGATAACTATTGATGTCCATGTAGAGTCGGGTGTAAAGCCAGTTGAGTCCGTTAGTATTGTTGGTGGGGATCCACAGAGGTATTTTGAGATTATCCCATCCAGCCTGCAAGGCGATGGTTTCCAAGTGGTCTCCACCAAGAGGATAAACTGGTCACAGAGCCCATCTGGATTTAACCTCTCCCTTCAAGTTAAAGACAAGAGCGTTCCACCATTAGTTTCTCCAGTTTCAGAAATCCATATCCCTCCCTATAAACAAAGCCTGTTTAGCTTTCTGGAAGACACTTACATTCTCACACTAAGTGAGTTTTCACCACCAAAAACACATGTGATCAGAGTTAGTATGAGTCCAGCACATTTGAATGTTACATACCACATTAAAAGTAACTCTGATAGCTCCAAATTTAAGATGTACCCCAAAACAGGCATCATTGTTACCTCAGAGTCCTTTGACTTCGAGAAAAAGTCTCGTTATGAATTCGACGTGATAGCGAATCACGGTGAAGCCGAGACTCATATAGTCGTTGAGATAACTGACGAAAACGACAATGCCCCCAAATTCACCAAACCCTCATACCAAGCCACACTACCAGAGAATGTACCTATCAGTAGCAGCATTCTAACAGTCTCTGCAATAGACGAGGACAGGGACCGAAATGGCTTCGTGACCTATGCCATAGTCAACTCAGCTACTTCCCCATTCACAATAGACCCAATCAGTGGAGTGATCTCTACATCTGAGGATCTGGACTACGAGTTGATGAAGAGGTGGTATCATCTCAGAGTGTGGGCTTCGGACAGCGGCAGTCCCTTCAGTCATGTTTCTGAGTGCGCTGTGACGATCACCATGAGCAACGTCAACGATAACACCCCTCTGTTTGAGCAGGTGGGATGCAACGCCACCATACCTGTAGATTTAGCGGTAGGAGAGCCAATCGCAGAGCTGTCTGCTGTTGACCTGGACGAACTACAACAGCTCAGATATGTGATCGAGTCAGGGAATGACCAACAACTGTTTGACATCGACGCTGTATCAGGAGTCATTACACTGATCAAACAGATACCCACAGCTTCGATTGAGACTGAAGTACCTTCGTTCAGACTCAGAATCACAGCAACAGATGGTAAACATACCTCTGACCCCTCTGTTGTTACTGTTACTGTTGTCAAACAGGGCACTGAAGCCACCGTCAGTTGTCAGGAGACTGGGATTTTGAAACGGCTCACAGACAAACTGATAGAATCCATAAAGCCAGTGTTGACTTTCGAGGATGACGAATCCTTCTCAGACGTTCATATGATCAACCGGCACTCTCCTAAGTTCCAATCTGGCATCCCGAGTACTATTGACATCAGAGAGGACATCCCTTTGAATTCAACTATCCTTCACTTCAAGGCTACAGATAACGACACCGGATTCAACAGCAAGCTTGTGTACGCCATCTCAAGTGGAAATGAAGACGGGTGTTTCTCCATTGGTATTTGGTCTGGGGAGCTTCAGCTTGTGTGTCCTTTAGACCGAGAAACCAAAGAATTCTACATTTTGAACGTAACTGTCTATGATTTAGGAAGCCCCCAAACCTCAGCATGGAAATTTCTCACTGTGAATCTATTGGATGTTAACGACAACCGACCAGTATTCAACCAATCCAGGTATGTCGTGCACATCCCAGAGAACACAGAAGTTGATACGAGGATATTCAAAGTGCACGCAACAGATTTAGACTCCGAGGGCAATGGAAACATCCTATATTCGATGCTAACGCTAACCGATCTGTTCGAGATCAATGAACTCACTGGAGAAGTGAAAGTGTCTGGTCGTTTAGACAGAGAGGCCTTTCCCAGACATGACCTGAAGATAGAGGCTGTAGATCAGTCTAAAACAGACCCACAGCTCTTCTCTATGACCGAGCTGGTAGTCCTGTTGGAGGACATCAACGACAATCCTCCCAAGTTCGTCCCCGAGATCTACAACATCAAAGTTCCTGAGGACTTTCCCTTGGGGACGGTGCTACTGTGGGTCGAGAGCTACGACTTAGACCTGGGCAGCGCTGGACAGATCAGCTACAACCTGAAGAACAGTGAAAACGGGGCCTTTTTTCTGGACGCGTCGACGGGATCTCTAACCCTTGAGAAGGAACTGGACTTCGAGAGGAGACAGTCTTACAACCTGACGGTTCGAGCGGTTGACCATGGCCTTCCTCGGTCACTGTCCTCCTCCTGCTTCATCGCGGTGGAGGTCCTGGATGTGAATGAGAACCTGAATAAGCCAGTCTTCTCCATGTTTGTTTATGAGGCCTCAGTGTTGGAGGACGCTCCTGTGGGAACCTCAGTGTTGACGCTGACAGCAGCAGACAGGGATCTGGGGAGAGACGGAGTCGTCAGGTACCACATCCACGATGGATCTGGCCTGGGAGTTTTCACGATCAATGAGGAAACAGGTAAATATGTGCGTGTGTGTCTGTGTTTGTGTGTGTGTGTGTGTGTGTGTGTGTGTGTGTGTGTGTGTGTGTGTGTGTGTGTTAGTGTGTGATAATAGTAAAAACTCCCCCTATTTGATAGAATTGTCTTTAGCATGAATGTATTGCTGTTACAGCAGATGAGAAGTGGGATAACAGTTGATAAAGCCTTTGGTAAAAAAAAATGGTGTGTTAAAATAACCTGAGGCTGCTTGGGACCTGTCTATGTTCCTACATACTGGATACTTTACAGAGGATAGCCTGTGACCTCACAAAGTATCACATCCCAGTAGCATGCTTCACTCCTGTTGGACAAATGGATAGAGGATAATGAATAGACAATGCTCTGTCATTGTAGTGCTGAACACCTGCACTGATGCACCAGGCCTCCCTTTCAGATTATTACTCCTACTTACAATTTTTTTTACATTTGATAGCGTATCCTCCAGTTTAACCAAAGAACAACTTTTGGGGGAAACCTAGACGATTTAACAAAGTTGTTCATCACCTGTCAGCAAAAAAAAAAAAATGCAAATACAAGATGGATGACATTATAAATGATTTCTCCTTCTGTTTTTGCAGGAGTGATCCGCACGGCTGAGGCGTTGGACCACGAGGCCGTCCCACACTACTGGCTGTCGGTCTGTGCCAAAGACCTGGGCACCATCCCTCTGGTGACCTGGACAGACGTATTTCTGGAAGTCCTGGACATCAACGATAACCCTCCCCAGCTGTCCCAGCCGGTCTACTTCGGCTCCGTCCTGGAAAACATGCCCGAAGACAAGTCAGTGCTTCGGGTGACTGCTACTGATGTGGACAGCTCCTCGGAGGGGAAACTCACCTTCCAGCTGTTGGAGTCACCGCCGACGTATTTCACCATCAACCCCAAGACAGGTAATTGACACATTTCACAAGGAAACATGGATCGATGTGATTTTAGTGTTTTTATTCCTGTGTCATTAGTCACCTTTGAGGAAATGCAGGCTGCTGTATTGCGTCCATTTCAAATTTGACAACATACATTCCGTGTCGTCAAATGTACATCAAATTTTTTGCAATTCATGAATATCAAATATACATCTCAATATACAGTTTAACTAGCTGTAAAACATGGCAGCTTGTGGCTTCTCAAGTCGAATAGAAATGGGGCGGCAGGTAGCTTAGTGTTTAAGAGCGTTGTGCCAGTAACCGAAAGGTTGACGGTTCTAATCCCTGAGCCGACTAGGTGAAAAATCTGTCGATGTGCCCTTGAGCAAGGCACTTAACCCTAATTGCTCCTGTAAGTTGTTCTGGATAAGAGCGTCTGCTAAATGACTAAAAAAATATAAAAAATTATGATAACATGTCTCAGCAGCACTGTGCATCACCCAGGGTGAAGCCGGGCCAAGGTTAAACTACACTTATTTTCTACCTGTAAATGTACACAGACACTTAACAAATGATCCAGTCATGTCTGGGCTGGGAGGGCAGTGAGTGTAAAAGATCAACTGCCCAACCAGAAAGTTAAACCCCAAATCTCTGTCACACAGCAACAGAGTATGGGCCTTTTGAAAACAGGGCAAATTGCAAACAGATTAGCTCTACGTCGCAAGCGCCTACACGTCCGTCCGTCCCCGACTTGTAATCTCTGCTTGGCTGTGTGCCTCCCCAACACCAAAGGATCAAAGCAGAAAAGACGCTCCATTAATGCCTTGGAAGACGTACAATAGATGAGAGTTTTTATAGAAACACTCAGTGTAATCAAGAGACAGGTTAGTTTCGCTAAGACTGCCTGGGAGTGGTCTGAGTGCGGAGGGGAAAACTGAAAACTAGCTGTTGTTGGCAAAGAGGTTTGCAACTCTCTTTCTTATTGGTCTATTAACTAATTTACTTCCTGGTGATGTCACCAGGCAGGCCAATACTCCATCCCACCAAAATGGACTGAAATTTCAGGTGGTCTTTTCAAACAGCTCTTACACAAAAAATGCATTATAATAATTTTCACAATTTCACAGTATTATTCCAACCTCATAGTGGGAAATATGCACAAAGTGTACAAAACATTAGTAACACCTGCTCTTTCCATGACATAGACTGACCAGGTGAATCCAGGTGAAAGCTATGATCCCTTATTGATGTCACTTGTTAAATCCACTTCAATCAGTGTAGATGAAGGGGAGGAGACAGGTTAAAGAAGGAGTTTTAAGCCTTGAGACAATTGAGACATGGATTGTGTATGTGTGCCATTCAGAGGGTGAATGGGCAAGACAAAATATTAAAGTGCCTTTGAAAGGGGTATGATAGTGTAATATAATATGCCATTTAGCAGACGCTTTTATCCAAAGCGACTTACAGTCATGTGTGCATACATTTTTACGCATGGGTGGTCCCGGGGATCGAACCCACTACCCTGGCGTTACAAGCGCCATGCTCTACCAGTTGAGCTACTGGCGCACCAGTTTGTGTCAAGAACTGCAATGCTGCTGGGTTTTTCACGCTCAACAGTTTCCTGTCTGTATCAAGAATGGTCCACCACCCAAAGGACATCCAGCCAACTTGACACAACTGTGGGAAGCGTTGGAGTCAACATGGGCCAGCATCCCTGTGGAACGCTTTCGACACCATGTAGAGTCCAAGCCCTGACAAATTGAGACTTTTCTTAGGGCAAAAGGGGCTGCAACTCAATATTAGGAAGGTGTACACTCAGTGTATATAAAACATAGGAAAGGCCTTTAACTCATTACTATGTCAAGGGCCTTGTTCTTCTACAAAGTGAAGAGTATACAGTGCATTCGGAAAGTATTCAGACCCCTTGACTTTTCCACATTTTGTTACGTTAGAGCCTTATTCTAAAATTGATTAAATCGTTTTTTTCCCTTATCAATCTACACACAATACCCCATAATGACAAAGCAAAAACAGGTTTTTAGAATTTTTTGCAAATTTATTTTAAAAAAACAATAGAAATATAATAATAATAATAATAATATATCACATGTACATATGTATTCAGACCCTTTACTCAGGACTTTGTTGAACCTTTGGCAGCGATTACAGCCTCAAGTCTTCTTGGGTATGACGCTACAAGCTTGGCACACCTGTATCTGGGGAGTTTCTCCCATTCTTCTCTGCAGATCCTCTCAAGCTCTTTCAGGTTGGATGAGGAGCGTCGCTGCACATCTATTTTCAGGTCTCTCCAGAGATGTTTGATCGGGTTCAAGTCCGGGCTCTGGCTAGGCCACTCAAGGACATTCAGAAACTCGTCCCGAAGCCACTCCTGTCTTGGTTGTGTGCTTAGGGTCATTGTCCTGTTGGAAGGTGAACCTTCATCCCAGTCTGAGGTCCTGAGCGCTCTGGAGCAGGTTTTCATCAAGGATTTCTCTGTACGTTACTCCGTTCATCTTTCCCTCAATCCTGACTAGTCTCCCAGTGCCTGCTGCTGAAAAACATCCCCACAGCATGATGCTACCACCACCATGCTTCACCGTAGAGATGGTGCCTGGTTTCCTCCAGACGTGACGCTTGGCATTCAGGTCAAAGAGTTCAATCTTGGTTTTATCAGACCAGAGAATCTTGTTTCTCATGGTCTGAGAGTCCTTTAGGTGCCTTTTGGAAAACTCCAAGCGGGCTATCATGTGCCTTTTACTGGGGAGTGGCTTCCGTCTGGCCACTCTACCATAAAGGCCTGATTGGTGGAGTTCTGCAGAGATGGTTGTCCTTCTGGAAGGTTCTCCCATCCCCACAGAGGAACTCTGGAGCTCTGTGAGAGTGACCATCTGATTCTTGGGCACCTCCGTGACCAAGGCCCTTCTCCCCCAATTGCTCAGTTTGGCCGGGCAGCCAGCTCTAGGAAGAGTTTTGGTGGTTCCAAACTTCTTCCATTTAAGAATGATGGAGGCCACTGTGTTCTTGGGGACCTTCAATGCTGCAGAAATGTTTTGGTACCCTTCCTCAGATCTGTGCCTCGACACAATCCTGTCTCAGAGATCTACGGACAATTCCTTTGACCGCATGGCTTGGTTTTTGCTCTGACATGCACTGTCAACTGTGGGACCTTATGTAGACAGTTGTGTGCCTTTCCAAATCATGTCCAGTCAATTGAATTTACCACAGGTGGACTCCAACCAATGTAGAAAGATCTCAAGGACGTTCAATAGAAACAGGGTGCCCCTGAGCTCAATTTCGAGTCTCATAGCAAAGGGTCTGAATAATTATGTAAATAAGTTATTTCTGTGCTTTATTTTTAATACATTTGCAAACATTTCTAAAAACCTGTTTTCACTTTGTCATTATGGGGTATTGTGTGTAGATTGATGAGGAAAATAATACATTTAATCAATTTTAGAATAAGGCTGTAACGTAAGTAAAGGGATCTGAATACACTGTAGGTGGATAAGACACTATCAATAAGGTGAAACCTCAGCTTGTATCCCGCAACAGCATGGTAGATTTATGTTTTGTCACGAGAGGATATGAGCTGTGCTCCTCATGTCTGAACAGGATAGACATGACTCAGAGAAGTCTGACTAAGATCTCAATTCAGGAGTGTAGCAGCTAAGTACATATAGTACCGCATCTGTACAGATGTCCCAGCAGGAAGTCAGTTAAGATTTGAATACAAGCAGTATAGCTAAGGGTTACCAGTTGGAAGATATAGATAAAACCTAAACTAGAAAAATAATAATCATTTGGGGGGTGCTTATATTTGTCCTGTTATTCACTTGTACAAGTGTGTAACATAAATGTGTTTCTTGCATATCCCAAAGCCCCCAGGGAGTGGGGTAACTTCATCCAGTGCCCCAGGAGCAATTGGGATTAAGTGCCTTGCTCAATGCCACAGAGAAAGCTTTTTAACCTTGTCTGCGCCAGGACTCAAACCAACAACCTTTCGGTTACTGGTCCAAACACTGTAACCTCAAGGCTACCTGCCAACCCGGCAAAACCCTATGGAGGTCAAGAGACCTCTTTACAAGGAGACCTAGCAGAGATGGGCAACTCCAGTACAAAAACACAGACGCGTGTGAATGTGAACCAAGTCTCAGCTAATGATAAAAGCAGCAGCACACTTTCTAACCCGTCTCACCTGCCTAAATAATGTATCCCGTAAAGACCCAGCAGGATTTGTTTTGAGTGCCGTAAAAGCTAAATGCCCCCCAAAATGATCATCTCCACGCCCCCTGAGGTGTCACTTGGGGCAGTCGGGTGGTGAACTGAACTGAACTAACGTTTCTCAGGCATGTTTAGTCTGTATGCCACTGCCCTGATATCAACTTAGGCTGTGACCCCATACAGCCTCACCCAGATTTCAACACAAACAGCTGAAAAAGGCCAAACCAGTCATGAAACCTGTTTCATCAGGTTTACTGATCACTTAGACGCTTTAGTTTGGCAGGAGAATTGGCCCGCTAAAGGGACAGTAGGAGAATTGGCCCGATAAAGGGACAGTAGGAGAATTGGCCTGCTAAAGGGACAGTAGGAGAATTGGCCTGCTAAAGGGACAGTAGGAGAATTGGCCCGATAAAGGGACAGTAGGAGAATTGGCCCGATAAAGGGACAGTAGGAGAATTGGCCCGATAAAGGGACAGTAGGAGAATTGGCCCGATAAAGGGACAGTAGGAGAATTGGCCCGCTAAAGGGACAGTAGGAGAATTGGCCCGATAAAGGGACAGTAGGAGAATTGGCCCGATAAAGGGACAGTAGGAGAATTGGCCCGCTAAAGGGACAGTAGGAGAATTGGCCCGCTAAAGGGACAGTAGGAGAATTGGCCCGATAAAGGGACAGTAGGAGAATTGGCCCGATTAAAGGGACAGTAGGAGAATTGGCCCGATAAAGGGACATTAGGAGAATTGGCCCGATAAAGGGACAGTAGGAGAATTGGCCCGCTAAAGGGACAGTAGGAGAATTGGCCCGCTAA